CATGATTAAATAAATTCCCAACACTCTTCATAGTGCAAAGTCAGAACCTTCACACTTTCCAGCTTCGGCAAATCTTGCAAGTCGCACTAACATGAGTTGGCGTCCTCCATCCAACAATAGTGGTAATTAGCGTTCATCGCCATATTCTGGAAACAGCAGTTAGGGCTTACACCCGTCGCCCAATACCGACAATCGCTTCCCTGAATCTTCTAATGGTGGGCCAACCTCATTTCGCAGCAATTGACCTTCTCCTCGTCTATATCTTGGATATTGCCAAATTTGTTGAATACAGGGACACACTACTAAGAGATGCGTCTCTTTCAGCTTAGTACCAATTCAGCCTAATACAACTCCAAATGCACCAGCAAACAGAAATCTGACATCATGGCAACCTCGAGCTCATTTTGCAGCCAGCACTCCTTCCAGTGCTCATCAATGGCTACTTGACAGTGTTCTTCTCGTCATGTCATTACTGACCTGAGCAATCTATCTCTTCATAAACCTTACACCAGTTCCGATGACATTATGATTGGCGATGGTTCGTGTCTTCCTGTAACTAACATTGGTTTTACATCATTTACCACTCCTAATAATACTTTATATTAGACCGTTGGGAATTTACTTAACATGCATAGCGAACAATAAATTATTTTTCAATTCTCACAAAGGATCTGCTTTTTGCTTAGATAGAAACCGTGATATAAATTATACATTTGATGAATTCTGTAAACTTATTTGCTGATTCTCGAACACGAACAATTACGAACTGCAATCCACAGCTGTTCAATTGTCCAACATCCAATGAAAATCCACACAGAGAACAAGAATGAGAGAATTATGGTTTTTCTTTTCTTGTGCTAACACGAATATGAATTATGTTATGTCCCTTTTCTGAAACCCTAATGGCTTATTAATATAAATCCAAGTGGGTTTGGCCCGTCTATTAAACTTAACCCGGTCCAATATTTAATTAATAGAATTAATTAAATTCGACCTATGAATTAATTAATCCAAATTCAGATCTATTAACAAGCAACCAAATTAATTAATTGTCAAACACTTAATTAATTAATTGGTGAATCTCACTCTTCTGGTCCTCCTTTTGTGTGTGACCCATCAGGTTCTCGTTCACAATACCTGACGACGTGAAATATTATTTTGATCTAATCAAAATCGATAAATTAAAATACCCCTTTTAATTTATTACCAATTTACATTCGTCGTCCTAGATTGACATCTAGCAATCTGATGGGCAATACATGTGACGGGAAATATCACGTGGTATGACAAAATCAAACTTGTTCGTTTATCGTGAAACTATAACCCTTTCGTCAATACGATCCGATCAATTATAAGATATGGATATATGTCAATCTCAATTATCGATCGTATCTTTCATCCCACTATTAAGTCAATATAAGTCGAAAACTCTTTTTCGACTTATGAGTACACCTTGGCCAAGGATTTCATTATCAACTTAACTGATGAAATGTAGATTATAATCTCTTACAATTTAAGAGTGACGAATCTTCTATTGATCATTCACAACATTCTTATGATTTTTGATCTACCGGAACGATGCCGTATTAGCGACCTTTAGTAGAGTAACATCCAATATCACCAAAGTATGACTGTCCTTATATAAGATACTATGATGACCTCTAGTCAAATGACCAATTCCATTCCCGAACTTTAGAGATTAACAATTGACACTCAGATAGTTATCCATGTGGAATCTCCCATCGGGTCTCCAATGTTTTGTTCTATAACAACACATCCACATGTTCATCAAAGTGTCACACACTTTAACATGTGAAATCATCTACTTACTTCACAAGTAAGAGAAATGCCACATGTGATGGTCTATCCGTAATAACGATATCCGTCTCTCGTTATTACATACGACCACAAACGATTTAAGATTCATTCATATGTAATTTGTATCTCACAATCACAACTCATTGTGATTAACAAATCATCAAGACTTGCATCTGCTGATTCAATTATTTAATTTATTAGAATATTAACTCAATTAAATAATAGATATATTATTTAATTTATTAAAATAGTAATTCAATTAAATAATAGATCTGGCCATAAATATGCATCGATTATATATATTAAAAGTATTTATGTCCAAATTCGATTGAATTTAGGGCATAACACTTACATAGACAATGTTCTGTGTGTTTCCTGTATGAATAATAATAATAATAATAATAATAATAATAATAATAATAATAATAATAATAATATTTCTTAGTTTTGTACATCTAATAATGTCTCCGTTGAATTCTTACCATCTTCTTTTCTTGTGAAGGAACTTCGCACAGGGCAATCTTTTTGAAGGGTCAAACGAAGAATGGGGGTGTATAAATGGCTGGAGTCCTCCTCACATTCATATATTAGGTCATCCAACATTTCCCATTTTAAAACACATTGCATCAAATTATAAATTAGATTTGTCTTCATTAGTGTCATCTGATCTCTCTTGTAATGTTTGTCACTGTAATAAAAGCCATAAATTGCCATTTTCTACATCCACTATTGTCTTTTCTCGACCTCTTGAAATGATTTTTTGAACTATGGACTTTACCTGTTATTTCACATGATGGTTTTAAATATTATTTCATCTTTATCGACCACTTCACTAAGTATATTTGGTTTTATCCCCTTAAACAAAAATCAGAAGTTAAGATGTTTTTGTAAGATTTAAAGCTATTGTGGAAACACATTTACAAAATCAAATCCAAACACTATATTCTGATAACGGTGGTGAATACATAGCTCTTGCAACTTTTCTTTCTACCCATAGAATTACCTTTTTGACCACTCATCCCCACACTCTTGAACACAATGGGTACTCAGAGAGACGTTATTGTCACATTATCGAAATGTGTCTTAACTCTTCTCTCCCATGCATCACTTCCTTTAAATTTTTGACCCCATGCTTTTGCCACTTCTGTCTATTTAATAAATCGTATGCTTACTCCCGCCCGATTTCTTTTATCTCCTATGAAAAGATTTTTGGTTTGTCCCAAATTAGTGAAGACTTAGAATTTTTGGATGTCTGTGCTACTCGTGTTTATGTCCTTACTCATCTCACAAACTAGAGTCTCGTTCAAACCTTATATTTTCCTAGGATATTCCATCACTCAAAGTACCTATTTATGTTTTCGTCCTCTAACCTCATGACTATACGTTTCTAGTCATGTCAAATTTGTTGAGACTATCTTTCCTTTCCAAACTTTTATCCACACAATCTAGCCGTCCACAACCAGACATTATCTCTATATAGATTCCTTTTACTATAAATGTTCCAAACACTTCAACGTCTTTCGTACCATTCAACACCCCAAGTGATGCTTTGTTATCCCCTATTAACGCAACTCCACCATTACCATGCGAATCTCTTTCCTAACGTACCACCTCCACACCTACACTAAGTCCCATCCACAACTAATAAGCCCTATTCGAGCAACACCACTAATATGACAACCTACAAGCACGATGACCACTAGGGCAAAAAATGACATTACAAAACCACTCCAGAAACTTAATCTCTCTACACCACTTTCTCAACCCTATGATATAGCACTCACCATTGTGACCCAAGCCCTCATAGATTCAAAATAACGTAAAGCAATGTCTAAAGAACATGATGCTCTTGTTCGAAATGGAACATGGGAGCTTGTACCATTTGTTGACCTCTAAAAATGCATCAACAGGATCCTGACCATGGCCCTTCCAAGTGGACATCATCAGCACATTGAACACTTCATGAGAAAGAAAAGGCTGCTAGTCGAGAAAAAGGTCCGATGACCGATTGCACTTCGACAATCAAGTCAACAGCCGGACGAAAGATAAAGAGAGTGCAAGAAAGTGAGATGAAATTTGGCTAGGGTTAGAAAACATATCTTATTATGAATGAAACTCTCTCACACACACACACACACACACACATATAAAAATAGTTTCCAAGTCTGAGTCTTACCTTCACATGCAGACTTCAAAATATAAGTAGTCAAGTAGGTAATGTCTTATAGAATGTCTTAGAAATAAGAGTAACTCTAATAAGTGAAGATTTACGAACTGACTCGAAATATGCATTGATCCCAAATAGGCGAGAACTTACGAATCGTCTTGAGAATATAAATTGTTCCAATATATGAGGACTTACGAACTACTTCCAAAATATCTGTGCGAGCTTGAATAAACGAGGGCCTATAGATTGCCTCGAAAGATATTGCATATCATTTGCCAAAACTTTGGCAGCATTTCCTCTATAATATAGACTAAATCAACTTTTAATACAATACAATATATCCACCGCACATGTACAAAATAAATCGGGGTCCACTTGTCCCTCCAAATAAGGTAAAACTACAATCAGATCAAAACTTGCTAGTGT